GTTTTTCTTTGGAATAATTGCAACAAAAGTTCCAAATCTTTGAAACATTAATAGACCTTTTTTAAACTTTTAACTTATTGCAACGGTCACTCTTAACATTTCCAATCATTGCACGTGAGTCCCCTTTGGACGGTTTCCATCCAAAATGTCATCAGTTGACTGCCAAAAAAGGTTTGAACATTTTTAATCAAAATAGGGGAAGGCAAAATGGTAACTTAATATTTTTCTCATAAAATTAGTAAAAAAATTAAATAATAAAAAAAAGGATATCTGATCGTCTTCCTTACCCCCAACCCCTACATTTTAGTCTTAACCCCTTAACCTAAAATCAAAAATCTGCAATCACCACGCCATTGACCACCAGTCCACCACCACCACCACCACCACCACCACCACCACCACCATGAACATTAATTCCTTGTTAAACCATGAACAGTTGCTCCAAGAAATGAAAGATCATCAAAAACGAAAAAGTCCAAATGGGACCACTGCATTTCACCTCTTTAGCAATCACCTTGCCACCTCCAAAGTTGTTTGAAAATACCCCCACACCGACAGTATCACACCCCTAACACTTGCAAAGAAAAAGACTATTTACATTTGGGGAAGGAGCTCATGTATGGTGAAAAATTACATTTGCAGCGAATTGGTTTCTTGAATTTTTGTAATTTGGTTTATATGTTTTAGAATAGATCTGAGGCTAATGTATTGGTTCTATCAAGTGTCGCAACAAACATTATACCGCAACCTCAATTTATATTACATATGTAGTTGGGGGGTTTCTCTCTTATCTCTATACATATATGTCTACATATGTATTTGGGTGTGTGAATGGACTATAGATTCTGGGTATGTTAACGGTTGGCAGTTTAAGGTGGCGATGGTAATTGCGGTGTAGCGACGGATAGTGGGGGTGGTGGTCGATGGGCAGTGACGGTAGGTGTTGGGCAGAGGTTGAAGGAGATGAAGGAGTTTTTATTTATTTTTATTCTTTTTGATTTTTACAATTTAATTACTACTTTGCCTTTTCAAATTTGAAGAGAACATTTTACTCTCGCCTATTTTGGTTAAAATGGCCAGAGTTTAATTTTTATGGTCAACTAACAATAGAAGAGACTGTTTCCATATATTTGGGGCCTCATCTACAACGATTGGATATGTTAGAGGTGACGATTGCAACAAATGAAAGGTTTGAGAAAAGTTTGTTAGCGTGTCAAATGTTTGGAGCTTCTGTTTCAATTATCCTTTTCTCTCTTTTTGAACATTTCAGAAAAAATGAGGTCCCACAGGCATAGAATGTGCCCTCAGCATAGGTCCCACTTAGATATTTAACTATAGTGCTTTCTTGTTTAATAGTAACAAAAAGCACAAAAAATCAAAACGTGACTTGCATGGAGTGTTAGGATGAAGATGCTTTCCTAATAAATGAGGGGCCAAATACAAATTGCGTTACTCCTACTTAGAGCAGTCTATGATGTCCAATAAGGGATTTGATAAAGTTCAAAAGTATTTACTAGAATTTCTTTTTTAACTTGATTAAAACTTTTTAAATATTTATTTGAGTATATTTTATGACTAAATATGTGGTTACTTTTAAAACAAGTATTAAGAAAGAAAACAATGTAGCCTGTGTTTGCTAATGTTTATAAGCTTGAATAAATGGACTAATTATTTTTTATTTTGACAAATTTTATGGAATTTACAAATACTATTCACTTATTTATCACACGTTTCTATCAATTTATAAATTAAATAGTTTATAAACACTTTCAAACAAGCTTTAATTAACTAAAGAAACATGTAAAAATTAGGAAAATTATTTATCAATAAATTTCACTTCTTCCTCCAACTGTTATCTTGTCCAGTTATTTTCAATACAAGCTAACGAAACTTAAAAGGGTAATTATCAACACTCCAAAATTTACAATTATATTCCTAGTACAATAAAAACTAAAAGTGAAAAACAAAATACAATATTGTGGTGCATTTAGTATCAACCCAACAATGATATCGCCAGAGGCCATACTTTCCCCAAAATTTTGACTTTCCTTGTTGTATCCTTTCCAGGCATATCATTATCCTTTACTTGGAACACTAAAAAGCCATTAGAGTGATTAATTTACGAATTAATTAGGGAGTGGGGATTATGTGAAATCAAAATTAGAGAGGTTTTTAAAAAGGAGAATTTTTTGTGAAATGGGATTGTGGATGTAACAGGGAGACTAAGAATGCCATTAGAGTGATTAATTTAGGAATTAATTAGGGTTTTGAGAATGGGTTAAGAAGATTTGAAAGGCGGTGGTTGGAAGCTGAGGGGAATTCTTTGTTGGAGCTTTGGGTAGGGGTGGGAGGAAGACGATGAGCCTGTTTGAGAGTGATTTTGAGAATTGATTTTTTGACTGTTAGGAGAAAAGTGGGGTCCACATGTGAGAGAAGAAGTCAAATATGACGGCTGAAATAGTGAAATAACGGTCAAAAAATCAATTTTTTGGATGAAAAAATCGCTCCCAAACATGCTCCAAAAAAAGATTGTTGTGTTGTCTCACGTGCCAAAATATTTATCCTAACGTGTTTTTTCCTTGAAGAGCAATATGTCAAACAAAGTTATGGTCTTTCTTTCCAATTCGGTCAAATTTCATTCAGAGCTTTTTAGATACATTCAGGCCCCGTTTGGGAGGAATTTTGAGAATTGATTTTTTGACCGTTAGAAGAAAAGTAGGATCCACCCGTAAGAGAAAAAGTCAAAAATTATGGTTGAAATAGTAAAATAACGGTAAAAAAATCAATTTTTTTTAGTAAAAAATCCCTCCCAAACAGGCCCTTAGATTGATTGTTTTGATATCCACGGAAAACAAAAGCAGTAGAAACGAACTTCCACCTTTTTTGGATTTTGGTTTTTGTTGTAGCAACAATTGGCGATTTTGAGGTGGTGGTTGGCTTTTCCGATGATTTGAGGGTGGAGATTATTCTCTCTAATTTTGGAGTGGTGGTGGGTGAAAAAGACAAAAAGAAACCAAAAAAAAAAAAATAATAAAATAAAATTTGATGAACAACAATGATAGTATAACCACTACATCATACACACATAGACCGCTGAACATCTTCCTTTTAAGGATGTCCACCATATATCGCAACCTTTACAATCATGAGGTCTGCCGATCTATGTCAAAACTCAAAGATATGGCTACAATATACTCTACCTAGTTAATACTAATAGAGGAGGTAGCCTAGCTACCCAGGGAAGGTATGTTAATACCAATCCCTATGGATCCACATAGTGCGGCTCACGGCATTTCGGATGGGATTCGCATCCTATTGTAACATAATTCATTCAAGGCAATGAGCAACCCTCTGCACTTCAACACTGTTCCCAGTGCGTTCAAAGAATATTGTGTTGAGGCTGCATATTCATTCTCACGAATCCAAACATCCCATACATTGCACCCAAGGATCACCTAACTTGCACTCTCCATGACATTACCCAAAACCAAGCAATCACTTACATCAACTTCATTCAAAATCCACCAAGTATGATTTTTGGTCATATTGCAAAGAAACAAGACAAAGCAATTTGCACTAGTAAATGAATGTTCAAAGCAAAGAATGAGCCTTTTATAGGCAAACACATGCATTTTTTTACCGTCAGATCTTTAAGATCTGGACCGTCCGAATTCGAAAAACTTATAGGCCGTTCAATGAAACCAACGTTTCAGCTTTAAGGCCCATACGTTGAAAATTGAGGGCACCGTCCTCCTCGGGAAGACCAAACGTCAGCATCGCAATCTGTGGTAATAAATGATGAAAGACGTTCAAACTACTTGAACCATCTCACATAGCATAGAGCTTCAGTTCACATAATAACGTTCAAGACCCTTCACATATTCACATGCTGACCCTATCCAACCCCTTTCTCTGACATTCATAACCTCGGCAACACTACTCCACAAAGGTACCTTGGCCTACCTCTTTAAGAGCTTCGACTCTACTATGAAGGCACTTCAGCTGATCCCCATTGAGAGCCCCAACTGAATTAGGGGACTATAAACTCAAATTTCAACGCCATCTCCCTCTCATAAATTCTAATTCCCACATCAATGTTGGTAAATTAGACTTGGGGAACTAGCATCCATCATGGATTTCTTTTCTTGAAAATTATTAAATTATAAATTCTATATACCACATAAATGATCATACATAGACTTAGAAGACTATTGTTCATACACATGGCAAGCATCCACGAATTGGTGCAGAAGGGACTAATGTCTGAAGCTATCAAATAAAGTGTCGAGGTCGTTGCACTAATGTCTAAAGCTATCAAATAAAGTATCAAATACAAAAGAGCGATGAAGAAGAAAGGAGAAAAGGAATCTTTTTGTGAGATTCGGTGTATTCTATAATTACTTGCTGCGTCAAATCTTGGTTATTGAGATTTACGTCAATTCGGGTTCAATAGATTTGGATTCATATAGATATCCATCTATGTGGTACTTCGAGTCTGCGCAAAAAGGGGATTGCATAAGGAAATGGGGTGGCTGGTTGCGTAAGAAAAGGGAGAAAGAGGACAAATGGTTACAAAAAGAGAATGGCCTCACCTTCCCCAATTTTAAGATTGGAGAAAAAAATTCAATTGGTGGTTGACTATACAAATTTTTAACACGTGTCCTGATGAAAAGTTGCCTCGTTTTAGCCCCTTTTATATTGTAGAAATATAGCCATTGCTGCAGTATGTTAATATTCATTCTAAAGGAAAATTGCAAACACAGGTTCCTCAACCTATCGTCCAATTAACAAGTTAGTCCTCAATCTTTAAAAACAAGCCAATTGCAAGAGAAAGAAAATGATTATTTCACGCATACATGACTTTGTATCGTCCTTCTCACCTTTCCCTACAAGACAAGCTACATTTTGCTTTTCTGGGTGCACCAAGAGCTTAATTTGTTACTGTTATTGGAGGCAGTGCGTTGGAGTTTTTCACAATGAACAGAAAGTAGAAGACCCACTGGTCGAACAAGCAATAACATTATTTAGAGAATAAGCATCGACTTTAACAAAAAATGATTCCCTCGAATCAAGAATAATTGTGCATGATAGCATCTACAATATGAGAAAATCAATGAATATAGGAAGTGCATGTTTGGTATATAGCATTAAACCATACTCGAGAGCAATTGTTCAATCTATGTTACCAACCGTGCAAGAAACATAGATTCAAGTTATGCAGCAATCCCTGGCTAGCTTTTAGTTATCTATACACTATGACCATTGGAATGAAGTAATTTCTCTTCCTCATTCACCATCTCACTTGTTGACAGTTGAATATTTGTCTTCGAGTTCATTTTGTTCCATTCGTTTTCTACACGAAAGAAAGCCCACTGGAAGCGTCGGAGCATCTCTAGAGCAGTTATGGTGAAAACTGTGAGGTAATTATGGCGAAGATGAGCTGACAGCTTGTATGTCCATGTGCATCGCAGGATAAGATTGCTTCCAATCACCCAAAAATAAACCTGTCAAGTTCCAAGCACAGTTTACAGGGTAGGGTTACACATCTCATTTTGCAAGAGCATTATACTTTATATGCGCATGTTTGTGTGCTCGTAAGTGCAGTTATACATATAAAATCCCGACCAAATCTGTCAAGAAATCTATTTCAAACACCAAGCAATAACAAAACGCACGAGTTATGGCCTTACCCATTTCCTTCCGTATATCATGTGGGACAAGTAATGCGGTTTGCCGAACTTGAAAATCCGAGTGAAGCAGCTGGAGAAAAAAGAGACAACAACAAATAGAAATTTCGACTCATTCTCCTTCCCCAAAATAAAATCAGAAAATAACTTCCGAATATATCACACAAAAGAATTAAGAACATTTTCTCAAGAATTAGCGTACACTTAAAAAATCAGATCGGTTTTAATTTGAGAATTTACAATCAAATAAAAAGATGTGCACATACCTCAAGTCCCAATCTCGTGTCACATCCCAGTAGAACGAGTATAGAGAGTTCAAAACACTTGAGAGAAGCCACAAAGGCCGATAGACATTTGTCCACTTTTCGGGGAAGACATGATACTTAAGGGCCGAAAGAAAAATAACAGGTACTGCTGTTGAATACTTCAATGCTGAAACCATAGGTATATGAAGTTACTGCCATGATCGAATAAAATCAACAAGAACTATTGACTCGGACTCATATCAACTCTAAAAATAACTTACATTTTGCATTTGCTTACATATAAGTATTTATCAGCACTTAACAAGAACCCAATATTAACTCAAAGTAACTTATTTAATTTTGACATTTGCTTACAGATGAGTTTTTATCAGCACATCCCAAGCCCCCAAAGTAGCAAAAAAAAAAAATTGAATGGGGTGAAGAAAAGAAGATTATACACACAACTGAAGGAAAGAAGATTTCTAAGACAACAAATAACAAGTAGAAGAAATCAAGTCTTATTCCAAATAAACTAAAGAGTCTATTATAAGAGTCATTTTCCATCACTCACTCTATCCGATACACACGTAATGAAAGGTCTAAAGAAACCAAATCTTTTGCAACCACGTCCGGCAATGCTAAATTTAGTTCATGTCTCCATTTTCTTCCATGTAATATTTGTATTGCATCACTTTTTTGAATGGAAACCTCTTCAAGTCTATTCGAGACATGTCACTACCATATAAGTGTCCCTTTCCTTAAGCTCCATTCTTGCCCCTCTACTTAACATATATTAAGATTTTATTGTTGTGTCTTCATAAGTCTCAAATAATACTTAAAGACACAGATAATTTCCCTTGACAAAGGAACCAAAAAGGAAGGTAGAAACTTATAACTACCCTTTTTGCTCTTCAATTTTTGTTCTTCCCAAATATAAACAAGACAATGAGTGAGGGGAGCTTTCCAGAATTTTTGATGCTCCAAAAGTAGAATGACAACAACAAGTTGACTGCTCTGCCATTAGCTACAACCAAGTCAATGAATACGCTATTTAATGATTTGTGACTATAACCCCAATCAATTTGAGTAAGAGCACAAATTAATCAGATTAATTGACTTTGCCCAATTTCAGTAATAAATTTAACACGTCTTTACAAAGAAGACAAAGCAGAAGTGAAACAATTACCATTTAATAAAGTTGTCTTCTCTCTAGTATCCTTGTATTGCCGAAGACATTGAAAAAAACGAAAAATATAAGGCAAAACAAGAACTATAGGTATTGCAATGGAGTGACTTCCACAAACAGAATCAGCTTCAAACCATGCAATTGTAGCAACCTGCACATATTAATGATCAATCTCTCAAAAATTACGGGTGTCCTTAAAGCTGGCATATATGACATATTAGGTAAACAATGTAAAGTTCACCACAAGAATCTTAAAACTTCTGTCAGCAAAGACATGTTACAATTGATGGCTTCGACCCTAGTACTCAAGGTAATAGCTATCGTGGCAACAATTCCCATATAGATATTTCTCGTTATAGAATATTTACATTTTTCTATTTGAGAAAATACAACCTTTTTAAACCACATGTAGTTGAAATAGTTAGATGAGGACATTGACGAAATTTTGTTAAAAAAGTTGATCATGTGATACTAAAAGAAGCTTAGATAATTAAAGAAATGTTAACCTGGCGATGGACCATTCGACAAACTGAACGCTCCAAATCTGAAAAAACCTGCAAGATAGTACGAATTAATCACCCAGAAAGTCCTAAAGAGCATATTTTGAAGTGCCATAACCACGTTAGGTTACTGCTAAGCCAGAGGACTGGGAACTAAACAAAGTAACGTTTTTTCCTAACTTACCCCAACCTTGGGGCTGTTATCCTAGGATTTTATTACAGTTCCATATGGAAAAATTTCACAAATGAAGGAAAATATTGGTATTATGCTTAGCCCCCGTTAGAGCCACATCATTGTAAAAATTAGAATGAAAAATATAGCAGTTATGCCCCACATAAGAAATAAAAAGTCAAATATGGTGGCTTGATGTGATAGATAACGATCATATTTTTCATTTTAATGTGAAAATAATGGGGCTCAAATAGGGCCTTAATGTAGAAACGGTTAATGTTATAAGGGTGGATAATTTAAATTCCATCTCTAATCCTATGTTTGGCTCATGTTTAGAAACTGTTTACAAACAATCAAGCCATTTTTTATCCACATAATTCAAGAGATCCACAACTACTCCTCACTTATTCACCACTCATTTCTATCTAATTACAATTTAAAACATTTATAAACATATATTTTAAGTATGTAGAACTAAATGTTTCTAAATTATGTATGTCATTGGTTATTGATAGCAAGTGATATAAAAGTTTGACATACAATTTCTCCATCAAAATGCTTGTTCATTCTTCCTCCTTCCTCTCTCCTGTTGTGCATCAATATATATGAGCCTACTCCGTTAACTCTTACCAACTTTCCCATCAAAAGCTTCAGACTCCTCTTTTTTATCAAAAAAGAACAAAGAGATACTGTATATAGCACCTTTTCCCCCCAAAAATAAATATAAAGGAGTCTAGCTAATGTCAATAAAATAATGAAAGATTCTCATTATGTCTGAGAAAAGGTCTCGCTATTATTTGTCCCAAAAAAAAAAAAAAAAAAAAAAAAAAAAAAAAAAAAAAAAAAAAGAAAAAAGAAAAAAGAGTTGGCAGTGTCTGATAAAAAAAAATAAAAAATGGAGAAGGCGATACTAATCATTAAAAGAAGAATCAGCAATAGAAGTCCCCAAAAAACACTTTTATGTTTGCCAAAAAAAAAAAAAAAATAGTTAGTTGTTTGTCAAAAATTAAAAGTCCATAGTGTTTGTCCAAAGCTCAATGATCTTGTTAGCGCACAGGGCCACCCACACACCAACCTCATTAGCCCAAAAAGATACCACCAACAGACTTACAGCAATCAACAGCCCAGTCCAAACTAGCAAATCCAAACTCGTCAGCCCAAGGTCTCTAGGTCCAGTAACCCAATGCAGTGAAAAAACCCACAGCCTATACACTGCTCACACCAGAACAAGTCTATGGAATTGTTGTCCCTAAGTCATTAACCATCCAACTACACCCAGCTCAATCATCCCAGTCAAGAAATTCACTGACCCAACATAATCCAAATCTAAATGTCAAATACACACAGATGCCAGCCCAACCAAAAATAAAAAGTTCCAGATTCATTGAACTACATGTGAGAATGAGATTACTCGGCACCATCAGTCAACACCACCCAAATCATAGTACTTATAATCAGCTGATCTATAACCTCCAGCCATCCCCCAGCATCAATCTTTCAATATGCAATTGTTACAGTTCAAAGATATTGGACACCAAATCATAGGACTTATAATCAGCTGATCTGTAACCTCCATATCAATATTTTTTTTTTCCTTTTCATAGAAACATCAAACATGAGAAACCATATCAATACAGTCCTCGAGAGATTCATCCTATGCATGAAAGATCGGTATAATGAATTTGAAAGTCAATGACATTTCTCAGTGACATTGGAAGTTATCATAAGTCATGCAGTTGTATTGAATTCCTACGTCAGCTACTTCATAACTAAGAGGCAACAAAGTTACGTCCTATCTTAAACTATTCTAAATCAACTTGGAAGCATTGCAAAAACTGAATTCACTGCTTCAATGAGGCAAGTTTTAAGGAGGAATCATATTTAATCTCTTAACACGTGCACAGATGTTTTCTACAATAAAGACAACCTTATCAAGAACTAAAACAGAAATAGAATGCTCACCTTTGACATTGAGGTCAATATATCGGCCAAAAAGAAGTCAGGAAATGTTATTGCCTGTGTTCAGAAACAATTATATGAGAAACAATATGACCACACCCAAACAAGTACCTAACAATTTTAATCATCTTAATTGCAATTAAATACATCCTCTCAATCTAGGGAGTAAAATTGACTCCTACTTTATCTCACCTTCTTTCCTCTCTTTTCGAGCATTGCTGACAACCTTGGAACAACACACTAATATAGAAACTAAGGGGAGATGTAGCTTTCTAAGCCACAGTCGACGTCAACAAGTAGTCCTCATAGATGCCTCTATATATAAATTGAAAATCGAAGGACTCTGCTCAGCTAATATTTACTGTCAAAATCTCCAGTTCTAGATGAAGGGGGAAAAACAAAGGTTCTTGCAGGAGAACATTCAGTCCACACATTTTCCCCAAGTTAATTGACCAGAAGCCCTTGCCTAGACTTAGCAATGAACAGAAAATATCTCTATGGCCTTCTCTCTAACAATTCATTTCATTCTTAGGTTTTGCAACAAAAATTCCGTTAATTAATAATTTCAACCAGGGTTCTTCTAAGTTCTAAGGATCAATGAATTTTAAATCTTATATATGCATGTACAACTGAATTCATTGTCTAATCCAACAAGTGATTTCCCACTGACCCAAAAAAGGCAGGAAAAAAATAAATAAATTTAAAAGTAGACTAGAAGGATAAGAAGCCTACACCTCACGTGTACAGCTCTTCAAGGCTGCACACTCAATATTGGAACAAAGTGACTGCATGTCAAATCCAAGTTCTTGGACCATACACCAAAGAGAAATTGAATGCATCTATAACACAGAATGTTATAGAAACATCTCTAGTAACTTTTTTATATTCTCTAAATTCTTAATCAAGGAAATAAAATATTCCTCCTCCAGCTTGCACTTTCTCCTACAACTCTATTCATACTCAGAAATAAAACATGACATCATTATTCTTTCTCGTACCACTCACAACCCATGAAATTACAATTTCCTTGTACAATGATAATCTGGTGCTAGCTACTACACTTCATTTAGGAAATAAATTAAGAAAATAAATATTGTAACCAAGTTCTAAGATAATATATGCTATTGTTTCTTGTTAGCCCCATCTCTATGTTTCTCTATCTCTCTCTCTCTCTTAAGATATTTTTCAAACCTTCAGATAGTCCTTTCTATTTCCCTGGGACCATAAAGACGCCTATGTAAGTTACCTTTATCTAACACTGGAAGCCAGAAACTCACCTTGTGAATCTAAGAGTCTATAGATCATATACAGTTACTCCTAAGTTTCCAAAGTTCCAAAAATATTAAACAAATACCGAATAAATAACTAATAAATCACAAAAACTGGAAAGAACAATACTTTTTAGTTGTACTGATACAATCAACAAAATTTGCACCCTAACATAATTGCAGCACTGGAAACTTGCCTGTAAAGGGAAAACTATCCGCCACAAAGTTCTTAACAAAAAGTAGCGGGTTGACAAATAGAAAATGTCAAAGGGAAATATGAGAGCCATTGTCACAGCAGCATATAAGAGCACCTGCAGTTGCATATGGAAAGGTTTTTACAGTATAATTATACAGCATAAAAGCTCAGAAGTTGCAAAAACAAAAAGCCTGTTTATCCATGAGCGTGACAGTTCTGACATGTATGGTGACTTCAAACTAAGAAATATACTAGGCACTGTGTCCAGCTGAATCATTAGGAAACAAACTAACTGACAAGACTGACACAGAATATCACAATTTACGACAACGACCCCACTTCTCTGCTTTATTAAAATCAAAGCCCACTCGAGTTGGTAGCATCGAAACCTTACGCTGTTAGAGTGCATAAACTTCATAACCTACAGGAAAAATAGCAGACTTGAAGAGCTATGTTCTTTGAGTCCACAATCTACTCAAACTCCGAAAATTTTAATTTCCACGTACAGGAGAAGAACTGTTGACATCCTTTGCAAAAGACATGGGGTATCAGGATCAAATCCCCTAATCTCTTTCATGAAGTAACCAGAAAATATTCATAGGAATTAAGAAAGAAGTACAGAAAAACTTCCCAAGAACAAGAGTATCCAAATATGACGTTTCTAATTTATAGAACATAGCATATATCAAAGGTTAATATTTATGAATATTTCTTCCAATATTGGAACTATATATCATAAGATTTCAATAATATACATATATTATGTATGTGTGTGTGTGTGTGTGTGTGTGTGTGTGTGTTAAGAACATGTTTGTGCATCTATACTATTTATAGGCATCTACTTATCAGTAGATGTAGTTATCGCCACTCCAACAATTGCCATGGGGCAATGATGAATCACATACAAGAATAGATGCGTAAAAGATGGTTAAAGAAGTTTAAAAATCAACACCCTATATTTTAACTAGTGAAGCATTTATAAAATAAATTAAAAGGTGCCATCATAGCAAAAAATACTGCAAAAAGAAGCATCTATTACACTGGTTGGGATGCAGCCAATGAAACTTCTCCATGAGAATAAAGATAAAGATATGCCGTCATGCTAGTTGGGACAATGATTGTCATCCAGATAGCACACTGTAGAATCAAAGGAATAGAGTATAATTCACACATAGCAAAAAACAAAAACAAAAATAAAAGAACAGATAAAAGAACCACAGAAGGTCTCAAGCGATTCTCATCAATTATTTTTATTCAGTTTCACAAAAAAAAATAATAAAAAATAAAATAAAAGCATTCCATTGGAGTGAAATAATGATGCGTGAACAGAAGTCATGAATAGCTTTTGTGCAAAAAGAAAATCACATCATCTACAACCCATAAGCTAAAAAAATTGATAAGTGAACTGGTAACAAAAGAGGCTATATTTAATTTCTGCACTCGTTTGAACAATTTATGTCCTCCTCACACGCCCAGCTCTAGAGAGAGAGAGAGAGAGAGAGTATTGCTACTATGATGGACAAATTAACAGAATTGCGTAGAAACGCCACAATGGAACAGAATTAAAATTTACCGTGGAGTTAATAAAAAAGAAACTGCTTCCAACCAGTGTGGAATAAATTTTTCACAGATACTCATAATTTTGAAGACAAATTATCCAAAGACTGCAGTCATTGTCAATTGGATGATCCGCCTATCCAAAGCCACATATTCCAGGGTATGTGTTGGATAACATTAAGTACTACCAATTTTCAGAAAGTCACGATTCACATCTAAAGAACAGTATGAAAATTATAGCAAGATGTTTTGAGATAATTGCATTTAGAATTAGTGGAAAGCATAGTGCTTCAAAAATGCACTTAAATATACTTTAATACATATTTTAATGAGTGCTGAATACTAGGCCCAGGTGAAATGATGTATAAAATGTAGAAGCTACAAATAAATGCATATAGAAGAACACAACTGGAGTCCAAACAAGCTTCATTGGAATCAATTTTTTTTACAAAAAGGCCTACAGCTTTGACTTAGACGCCACAGAATTTGATTCATTCCCCAAGCAAGATTATACATTTAGAACCCACCACGAAATCTTTTGCAAAATTATCAGGGTACAATATATTGAGGGGCATCAGATATCAGCATCACTAACAAGAACAGAGAATAAATTGTCCAAGTTTCTTGCTAATGCATTCATTAGATACCTTCCATATTTCTCTATGAGTGAGATGGCTTTGATCGAGGTCAAAAATTTTAGCATATCCAACATTAGCCTGGGCAAAGACCCATAAATTTATTCCCCAAAGCCAAACCATCATGGTCTGCAGAATTATCCAAAAGAATTTTTTTAGTAAAAGGAAATAAACAGAATAATTTGAGATGACTGGACCAAGAACTCAGCAAAAGAACTTTACTAACCACAAGAAGAAGAGGATTATAATATAAAAAAGCCTCATATAAAAATAAATCACGCAGATCTGCACTCATTCTCATAACTGAATCCCATCCAATCTGTAATTATACATATAAACATGAAAATCATGATTCGTGACCAGTAAAAAGCAGGTATAACCACTTCATGATTGTCCACATCCAAATGTGTACAAAAACTTTAAACTGACCTTGCAACAAATGAATCCCCAGAGGAAAAATAGTAGTACCTGCGAGTTGAATTAAATTATATCTAGCAAAGATGTGTAAATGATGATAGCTCAAATGCAGACACAGATGGCCAAAAGATATATGGATGAAACAATCACCATGGGTGTCCGAAATCATAGATCAATTATGTCAAACAACACTAAAACCAACATAAGGCAAGACTCTTCCAAACTGTCGATAAAATCCAGAATTAAAAGTCAAGCATCCTTTTCTATATTGAGTGAAAATATTTGGAAGACAAAGAACTAAAGTAATCGAAATCATAACTCTCTCTATATTCCTGTCTATTCACTCAGAATGTTTCTAAAGGAGTTTTATATTGGATTTGGCATGTGATTCAGGAGAAGGAAAAAAATTATAGTCAAACCACATTTCTCACCTTGTATTCCTTTACTATAGTTTCCTCATTTCCAAAATTTAAAAAAAAAAATGAAGTGACAAAAACATATCCAGAACATTCAAATGGAACTTTTGTTACGGTTCTGATTTTGCATTCTATTTTATATTATGTTCTATTTATCTTATGACATAGTCTGAGAAGTTAATATGTGGAAGAGTTACTATTTCTTCTTTTTAGGTGAACATGAATAATTCATCTTTTAGTTAAACTCGAAGCAAACAATGCATGATATGTCAATGTATTATTTCTGCGAACTTGATGTTTGTAATTGGGAAGCTTATTGGTTCCTTGAATTACCAATACCGAGAGGTCCATGTTCCATCAAATTAACCCACTTTTCAACTTTTCACATTTTATTTTCAATTATTTTAATACGTGCAATTCGCATACGTGTATCATTTGGTATTGGAGCAGGAATTTGTCACTAGAGCTACGAGTGGAACGATAGGAGAGAGTGGAAATCTTGTCTGATTCTAAGAAACTTAAGGACTGGAAGAATTCTTAGAAATTGCAGATACAACTACTGTCGAGTAATCAAGACTGCAATGAAATGTTTTCAGTACTAACGCAAGAAGTTCATGAACAAATCAAGACAGTACAAGAAGGTGAAACCTCCTGCAAGTTTCCAGAGTGCTAAAACCAAGAGCATCAGGTGGTGATGCATCAGCAACGCATCAAAACTTCAATCATGAGAATGCTTCTGGAGGTGCACAGCTTACACAGAGTTCAGGTTTCAGTGGCACTTTCCCTTCCAGAATTATTCTGGATATAAATCCATCATTGAAATTCATGGACAAAGTTTTACGATTAACTTGTTGAGTCTGAAAAATATCCATCCAATGATCTTCTCGTTCTTTAGCTTAATGGTGGTCTTGGGAGCTCAAAAGTCCAATCAATTTTGAGAAAGAAACGCAGGATGGTAGCCTGCCAACCATCCATCTCAACCCATACAGCTTTGGTCTAATGTATAATTATGCTAGAGCTGCCATTTCCACCTTTTCGAAATTTGAAGATCATCTTGTTTTTAATATCATCATATCGACTCATAAATTGGAAACAGGGGGAAAGACGAATTTTTTCAACAAACTCCACCTTGAGGTTAGGGTGTTTACAAGGAGGGTAGAATGTTAGGGGTTCTATTTTCAATTTTGTCTTCAATTTTTTATTTTTACTTATCTTTTGACTTGGTTTGCGAAGCTATGAGTAGTTTCAATAGAGCATGAATGATTTACCTTGAATTTAAAACTCTAATCAATAAAATGTTGAAAAGTTATTTTAGCGAACTTCATGTTTGTAAATGTGAAGCTTACTCATTCCTCAAATTACCAATACCGTGAGGTCCGGGTTTAATCAAATTAAACAACTTTTAATCATTTCTCATATTATTTTTTATTATTTCGATACAAATGTGTTCTCATATTATTTTCAATTATTTCGTACGAACAATTCGCATTAGTATCAGCATTATCCCAAGTAAAATGATCATTTAAGTGAAAGTGATACCTTAAATCTCCACAGAAGAACAGGAGATGGCAAAATTGCAGCGCTGGTCAATGATGTACTCACACCCTTCATTTCATTTAACACCACAGAATGCAAGAAATCTTCGCCAGAACTATTACCCGACTCAGTTGTACCTAGAAGTTAATGTCCATCAATCAGAAGGCATGGAATACGCCCGTTGATGAAAAGGAAAACCAGCACATAGTAACGTGTCTGATATTTAAAATCTTCTCTTACCCAGATCAAAAATTGCAGGTCGGCTTCCTGACTTCCGTAGATGTGGACTGTTGGTAGGAGCAGATACAGCACCTCCAAACATAGATGGAGGTGAGAATGGTTATAGGTGTATATGTTATCAAGTGTATCCCTAAAACCACTACTGTAGAAAAATAACAAGATACAAGCATATGACATTTAGGACCAAATGGAAAGCATTAGAAATAGCTCATCAAAACACAGTGGAGACACACCAAAATAAAACTCAACAATAGTTAACATTTTAGTGAATATTTTCAACTGTTGATAATGGAATTCAGGGGAAATTATCAGATAAGATGAAACAGAATTCAGGAGAAAATATCAGATAAGATTAAACATTATCTGGATACCAGTACCGTATCTAGAAATAAACTACCACAGATCATGCACAAAATCGAAGGAGTGTGCCACAGTAAGGGATTGTAATGTCAATCATCAAACTTATCCCTAGCATCAAATAACCCCGCTTGCAAACAAATGACAAAATTAATATTACCACGATTTTACCATAATAATTAGGATTCTAACTTCGGGTAAAATCAATTCTCTTATGAAACTAAATTTTAGTCTATAATGTTAAAAAAAATTCAAATATATTTTGGGCTTCAAGAATGTGTGAGATCCATTGTTTCATTTACACCAAATATCACAAAAAACAATTCACAACTTTTTCCAAGACAAATATAAAGAATACGATATCAAAATAACAAATAAAAATAACAAAGAAATTTTCCCATTCAGAGACATTTCCAGATCCAAGCATCAAACATTCCAATAAATTCATCCCACGATTAAACCCAGAAACAAAATTCACAATGCGCTAGAAGGAGGTATATATAAAAACAAGAACGAATTCCAAGTGTAGTACCTAGTCTAACCGTTAAATGAATAACTGGCCCAATTCGATTGCATTTAGGCGCGCTGATCTGGTCCTGGGTTTCGTCTCACACACTTTCTGTGGGTTTTTTCACGTGAGATTTGATGGAAATGAATTGGGGTGCGTTATAAGGAAAATCAGCTCTTGATTTTGGAAGACCCCCAACAACCACAATAGTTGAGAAAAGCACATATATACGAGCCTATCAAGTACCATAGCAGTAGAATATGAGTCGCTCGAAGGATGACAATGGGTCCAGTCCATGTTACTCGAGGGGCGGCTCAGCTCTCGAGCTTATCGGCAACATCTAGCTTGGGCTTGGGAGCTCGCCTTTTTTTTATTACAAAAAAGATTTGATAAAACAATAACCCTACTCCTTTGCTCGGATACTTTTCAAAAGAACATATTCAAAAGATCAGTTTGTGACATTAATAAAAAAAAAATTGCCATTCATCAAAAGAATATTTTGAAGAGTAAATGTTATTTTTGCCCTTATTATATTTTGTAATTACAAAAACATATCATTTGTTTAAAAGATAATAATACCCTTTGTTAAAAAATTAATAAATCCAAAAACTCCTACTTAAATTTCAAAACGAAATCACTTTCCTTATCAAATTCTTCAATACAATTAAAAAGAAATTTCATCGTCCATCCGCTTGAACTTTAAAATCTCACAAAATTATCAAAGGTTCAACAAAAAAATATTACTCACAGCTCGCACTCGAAATTGGTAAGTATAAATACGTATTTTTAAATTTATTTTATTTAAATTAGTACATTGTTTGAATCTTTAATATTATTTCAGCGTATAATTTTAGAAAAATAAATTATTACAGTCTTAAATGAATGTATAATTTTTTTAGCAAAAACGAGGAAAAAATTCATCTGTTCAGTAAAAATCAATAAAATGGAGAAGTTGGACAGACAGTCCGTGCCGACTGTTAACATCCGGCCTGAACTGTTCGGGCCAGATTTTATATATGTGTGTGTGTGTGTGTCTTGCCTAGCATATTTTTTCATCATTTTATTCTTGTAATTACAATTTTTTTAATAAATGATGTTTCCTAATGCATATATAGAATCAGCTGATGTCCCGATATGTTACTTCGATGAATTTGAAAAGAATGAAAATGATTGATGGGTGTGGAACTGGATAAGTAAAAGACATGGTTGTACTGCAATTGTGATAATATCAAGTATATCATATGCAGAAATATACAATGAGATAAAGAACTTGCTGAAAGTCGATCACTCTGAATATGATATGGAATTGGGATTTCTAATGGGCGAGTATACATCCATTTCAATTCCACCTATAATGGTTACTTCTGAAGCTGTAATGAAAGTTTTAATTGAAATGAACCAAAAACGTGCGATTCCTATTTGCATAACTTTGATGAAAAAGAATGTCCCCAGGAGTGAACACGAAGATTTCGATGAAGGGGATCGTAATGTGAATGAGTTTTGGGACACAGTGGAGATAGTGCGTGATGATATTGAGGCTATTCTAGAGACACTTGCTCATCACCATGATCTCACTGTTACACACAAAATTTGCTTGGTAGTTCAAGACAACAAAAGAGATAATGACTTTACAAATGAGAATTTAATTATTTTATCCTGTCTGAGACATGAGTCGAGTGGAAACTCACAGGCTGGACCCAGTACATGGTCCTCTAATTGTTCGCGTGTAGTCCCCAATGATGAAGATTTGTATGTCGAGCAACTGTTTGACAAGAAGAAAGATTTGCAGGAAACTGTTCACCAGATTGTTTTGAAACATAATTTTGAGTTTAAAGTGAAAAAATCAAACAAGTCGACTTACACAATTGTCTGCGTTGACGACAGTTGCCTTTGGTGTTTGCGAGCAACGAAAATGGACACGAATGAGTTTTTTGCAGCTCGTAAGTATGCACGGGAACATACTTATGAAGTGGGTATTTGTTAAAATGATCACAAGCAAGCCCGATCATGATTTATTGGTCAAGAAGTAATGCACAAATTTTAGGACCCACGAACAATCTACAAACTTTCGAACATTATTAATGACTTTTGTCGAGAGTACGGGATGATCATGAGCTATCAGAAAGCTTGGAAGGTTAAAGAATGTGCGTTGGAGGACTTGATGGGTTCGACCGATGAGAGTTATGTTAAATTGACCAGATATTTCTTTGTTTAGATGTTTATTTAATATTTATTTCAAATGTTAATTATTCATTTCAATTGTTTAATTAATTATTTAATCAATTGTTTACTTAATATCTAACTAATTATTTAATTCAATCATTAATTTCAATTGTTTATTTAATTATTTATCGATTCTTTATTTAATGTCTAATTAATTATTTAATTCAATTGTTAATTTTTCAGTTTATTTAATATTATTTATTTAATTATTTAAATTATGATTATTGTTTATTTAAATTGGTCATGTTTTGCTATAATATGGGAAAAATTAATATTGGATCGACATTTTTTATTGAGAATGATGACGAAAATCGCTTCAAATATTTCTTTATGGCCCTTGAACAATGCGTTCGAGAATTTCGAAATGCAATGCGACCCCTAATCCTAGTCGACAGTACAACCCTAAAGGCGAGATATGGGAGCAAGTTGATTATTGCAACATGTCAAGATGCTAACATCCAAATTTACCCTTTTGCATTCGACATTGATTTTTCACGAAGTTGAGGGAAGTAATTGGGGATGTCGAGAACCTTGCATTCGTAACCGATCAAGGGCAGTCAATAATTAACGATATCGTCGAAGTCTTCCCCGAGGCACATCATAGTTATTGTATGTACTATATACAAGAAAATATGAAGACCAAGTATTGGGGTAAGGGCATCGTTACATTGTTTAGGAGAGCTACAGAGGCTTACAGTTTTCAAGAGTTTGAAAAGTTTATGGTCGAAATATAAAATGAATCGTATGATGCATGGGAGTATCTGATAGAGATGCGAATCGAACATTGGGCACGATCACATTTTCCAAGACGTCGATATAATATGATGATGTCGAACAATGCGGAGTTGCTCAATGCCTTATTCAAGAAGGATCGAGAGTTACCAATTCTCGCAATGTTTGAGAACATTCGTGATAAGCTGCAACAGTGGTTTCATGGTCGTCGTGAGGAATTACAGAGTTGCACAAGTGTGCTAACCCCGGCTCAGGAAGATAGACTCTTCAAGACTCTAGAGGTGACAAGGAAGGTATATGTAGAACCACTGGATCAGTTTCGCTTCTCTGTGAGATATGCACATAATTTCGGATACATCGTCGACTTGAATGATAACACGTACACGTGTAGACAGTTTGAGTTGAAGAGTTTTTCGTGTACACATGCAGTGGCGGTGGCTATGTATAAAGGAATTCCACCACACACCTTATGCAGTGCTTATTACACGACTAGTTCTTGGAGAGCAACATATGTCGAAATCATATTTTCTGTACCGAATGAAGCCGAGTGGAAAGTTCCAGATCACATTCTCTCATTGAATAATTTGTTGCCACCAGCAGTCGGCCAACGTACTCCTGAACGTACACGTACGTCTAGAATACCATCGACCGGAGAATTTCGTCGACCTCATAAGTGCGGCAGGTACGGTGCAACAAGATAAACCAGAAGATTTTGTACAAGTCTGATCCCTCTACATGACAGCGTAACATATGTATAAATGAAGTTTATATAACATTATTTATAACATTGATATTAATTATTTATGCATATTTTTAATGTAAATTATTTATGTTAATTATTAGATTTAATTTTTTTTATTTCAATATTTCATTAATTAGTTTCGTAGTATTTGAAGTTTTTTTAAAACACTGTGCGTTTTCTACAATATACCGAAACATTATAAATACGTCATGAAACATTTAAATAAATATATAAACTATAAAATAAAAATTAAATATTAGAAAAATAATATATATTTTACAATTATTTTGTAATTACAAATGAATGAATGAAATATACAATGTTTAAACGTTACAATATGTACAATCATTTTCAAAAAGCACGGTTCCAATATCTACGGATCACCATCAAATTCAAATAAATCACAAGCTAATTTATTTCCCCAATTTTGTATTCACAACTGGTTGATTGCATCAACCTTCTGTGCTACACTCAAAAATTCTATGTACTTGATGGCGAACATGTCGCAATTATCTCAACAATTACAAAATATTTTATTAGTACATCACCATCTAACTAGAACATAAGTTGTAAACTAAAAAAAATAAAATAACAATAACTTACGATATTTGTTGTCTCGCCGTCATCGTGTCCCGAACGGTGGTCAGTCTGTCCTGTAAAGTGATGTTCGCTCGTCTAGCTAGTATGAGGACGATCACAGACATCGACTCCAGATTTTGTTCGAACTGACCTTGTGTCAAGCATGAATAATTGGGGTCATACACATACATAGTCGAGTCGACGAATACAATCTCCACCGTAATGTAGTGATGATTCATACACACGGGGATGTACAAATACGTACAACCATCCCATGGCTTTTCCCCGACACTCGACCACATCCCTATGACTTACTTCATTATGTATGTAGGCACCATGTACTCGCTACCCATAACTTGGAGCGTTTGGTACTCAATGTCAACGGCACGTAAGTGTTCAATATGAGTCGGTCAGGAGTGTTGAACGATCTTGGATGTCTTTCAGCTTGATCTTGTAGCAAATCCATAGCGAAATCAATGTGCTACATCAGGAAACACCAATTAAAAAAGGAGTTATTTAATTTCATAAATTCAAAACTCAAAAATATGTATACGTAATAAATAATAATATTATTACTTCACTTATATCATCGGCGAGTCAAGCCCCCGAAGTGGTGATGTCGTGAAACTACTTGTAAGCGTTTAAGATCATCTTATGAGCAATCCTGCGGCTGGCTCCGAAAAAATATGAAAAAAATTGTTTAAGTATAGATGTGTCAGCATCTGCATAATGTACTAATTCCTAACGAATAATACAATATTTACCCGGGCGTAATTGCTCTGCACTCCGTCTTGAACACTTTCCACTTCGAGTGGTCCACCTCTCTGAATAAATTGGGGTGCGTGCCGTCGACGAACCTCCTCCTCTTCGCTTCCGAGGTAAACAGAGAAACGACGTACTATGATGACGCCCTCGACCTCTTACCGACCACTAGCTCCGGCACGTCAACAGCACGTGACACCTTCCCGATCTCCGGTACCCCCTCACCTACCATCGGGACCACCTCCT